TGCATCCTTCCATAGTTCACTAATTGTTTTAATTGTTCACTAATTGTTTCTTTTTAATTTACTGTACGCCGCCTCGATTGCTGAGCAGAGGGGTGGGATATAAATAAAAAATTATTATTATTATTATTATTATTATTATTATTATTATATGAGTACCCAGCTTGTTGAGGGCAATTAGCTTACACTTTGTAAACCGCTTAGGTGAAGGTAAAGGTATTCCCCATTGTCAAGGTTGCCAAGTCGTGTTCAACCATAGGGGGCGGTGCTCATCTCCATTACTAAGCCGAAGAGCCAGCGTTGTCAGAAACCACTCTGTGATCACATGGCCAGCATGATTAGAATCATAGAGTTAGAAGAGACCACAAGGGCCATCCAGTCCAACCCCCTGCCATGCAGGAACTCCCAATTCACAGAATTACACAGAATCACAGATTACACAGAATGCTGTTTACCTTCCCACTGAAGTGGTACCTGTTTATCTACTTGCATTTGCATGCTTTCGAACTGCTAGGTTGCAGAAGCTGGGGCTAGTGACAGGAGCTCACCCCATCATGCAGCACCAAGGCCTCAAACTGCCAACCTGCTGATCTTGCAATCAACAGAGTCAGCATCTTAGCCACTTGAACCATTGCATCCCTAAACCGGTTAGGCAGAATTAAATACACTGATAAGCAGTACAGAAATGTATTTACTATTGTGATTGCTATTTAACCACTGCACCACCAGGGCTTCCTCCAGGGCTGGAGGAAAAACATTAGAATGGATTAACCAACATGATGTAGTGGGTTGAGTGCTGACTATGACTCTAGAGACCCAGGTTCAAATTCTGGCTCAGCCATGTAAACCCACTGGGTGACCCTAGGCAAGTCACACACTCTCAGCCTCAGAAGATGGTAATGGTAAATCCCCTCTGGAAAAAACTTGTCAAGAAAACCTTAGGGTTGCCCTGTGTCGGAAATGACTTAAAGGCACACAACAATAACAACAACAAAATACAGGAGTCTGTCTGCAAGTATCATAGAATCATAGAGTTGGAAGAGACCACAAGGGAACACAGTATCAAAGCACCCCCAACAAATAATAATAATAATAATAATAAGAAGAATAAGAATAATGATAATGATGATGATGATGATGATGACAGAAGTCAAAAGGGCTTTGATAAGCAAGAATATTAGGCAGAAATTAATACAATGAAATTGAATAGAGACAAATGCAAAATTCTACATTAGGCCACAAAACCCAAATGCATAATGTATTGCATGGAAGATACATGACTCAGCAGTATTATATACAAAAAGGACCATGAGATTACTGATGATCATATATTGAACATGACCTAGCAGTGTAATGCTCCAGCAAAGAATGTGAATGTTATATTATCCTGCATTAAGAGATAATTTCCAAATTAAGGGAAGTAATATTCCCACTGTATTCTGTGCTGGTCAAGCCTCATTTCAACAGTGGAACACACTCTGTCAGAGTGTGATGAAGTCTCCTTTGGAGGTCTTTAAGCAGAGGCTGGATGGCCATCTGTTGGGTGTGCTTTGATTGTGAGTTCCTGCATGGCAGGGGGGGTGGATTGGATGGCCCTTGTGGCCCAACTATGATTCTATGATCTGGAATGCTACTTTCAGCTCTGGGCACTCCATTTTAAGAAAGGTGCAAACAAGTTGGAGCAGGTTCAGAGAAAGGCAGCAAGGATGATAAGAGGTATGGCAAACAAAACATGAAAGGTTGAGGGAGTTGGGCATGTTCAGCCTGGTGAAGGGACAACTGAGCAGTGATATGATCGCTTTTAAATATGTCAAGGCTTGTCACAGATAGGAGGGGGGCAGATTTGTTGTCTGCTGCCTCAGAGGGTAGAATTTGTTCTAATAATGGTTTTAAGTTACAGGAGGTTAGATTTTGGCTGAACAATAGAAGGAACTTCTTGTTAGCACGAGCAATTTGACAATAAATCCTATTGCCAAGAGTGGTGGAGTCTCCTTCTCTGAATGTCTTCAGCAGGAGGCTGTGGATGTTTTAGCTGGATTTCCTGTCCTGACTGCAGTGGAGGGTGGGGGTGTTGGACTGGATGGCCTAATGCCCCTTTCCAATTCTGTGAATATGTGATTATATGGAAGGTCATAGGAGGGGGTGGAAGCAGAGCATTGGAATGTCTTTGACAGTCTCCACACGGAGCAGAAGCAGCCCTGTGTGTTTCTGCTTGCTTACTTTGCATCTGGACTTCTCCTGTTTTCATGAGGGAACAACACGCGGTGACTCCCACAAGTGTCAGTAAATGCAGGCAGTTGCACTGCACAAGTGTCTGAAAGCCCCTGAAGTTGTGCATTTGCCTTATACTTCCTACTGTTAAAAAACTCCAAGCTCTCACAGTGGATTATAAAGCTAAATAAATAACACAAAACATGAATCTGTGCTACTTTCCTTATCCCCAGAAAGGGGGGGGGGGTGCAGCACATCTGCACAGAAGTTAATCCCCAGCCAGGAAGACACAGGAGGTCTTACTTGCCTGTATTCCCTTATTCATCCAAGTGGGATTTATGGGTCTGTGGGTCAGGTAAAGTAGAGAATGCAGTTCATTTGGCATGCAGGGGGCTTGGGGGCAAGGACCAGTATCAGAATAGTTCAGGGGCTCATGGTAGTTGATGCACTTGCTGTTTAGGACAAGCTATGCTGGTGGTGGGGTTCTGGGAGGTGGCTGGTTGTGAGAGGTTGATGTGTGGTTTACTTAAAAGAATAGGACTAAAGAATATGAACTGGGACGTTGCAAAGTAAAAATTCATACTATCCCATTGAATTCACTGAGTAGCCTTGAGCATGTCAAGACTGTCCCTGCCTCACACCACCCCAGCACCTCTGCTCCTCCCATACAAGCAGGATCCTGCTGGCCACCTTTGCAGGCATGTCTGCCTGCAAGGATTATTTACATAATAGGTACAGGGTGTAAGAGCATCTAACCCCTCACCACAAGCTATGGTTGGCATCTGTTCTGATGTTGCCAGCATCCCCTCCTGAGCCATGCTATTTACAGGTGCTACCCCTTTTGATGAGTAGAGCTACAGTGCATCTGCTCCAGAGCAGTGAGAGCATTCCTGAGAGCATTCAGCCTGCCTTCTGGTGATCCCTTATCCAGAGAGATTGAGGGCAGGCATGGAGAGTAAATAGACACAAAGCTTGTACTCTGTCCAAGAGTTCTGTTAATATCTTTCTAAGAGGAAAGGGTGCTATTAAAAGTTGCAGATTATCAGGCAGCCCTTCTGCTTGGCAGGCCAAGACTAGTAGTCTTGTAATTACCCCAGTTATAAAAGTAACCCATCAGTCGAAGGCAGTTATCTGGGCATGCTGCCCTTGTCCCAACATTTATCAACACCTGATCTATCTCTCCATCCCCTGACAAGAACAAGACAACTTAATAGTATGTTCAGGACGTGCTGGGAATTGAAAATAAGCAGGACGGAAAGTAAGTTTCTTTTAGCTTGATTCTTAAATATTTGTTCTGAGAGTAGGCATTGTTGCTTGAACTCTTTTTAATGGTTTTGCACAAACTTTGAATCAAGCAAGGTACCTTTTGGGAACATACTTCAGTGTTCAGTGGTTTTTGAATCCCCTTATCTCCTCAGAGCAGAACCAGAGGAGAAGAAAAGATTGTCCTATGGTTTATTGTTAAGGTTGAGCCCAGGCAAGCTGTGGTTAAAGCCAACTATGGTTTAGGAAAAGAAGCCAACTTCAAACCATGGTTTGCAATCTTAGCTTGGACCAGTTGGTTGTGTTTTTAAGTTGCCCAGTAACAAACTTTGTGACCATTGTACAGTCATTAGCAACAATATTATGATTTTAAAATGACTAAAAAAGTAGAATATGAAACTGAGATAGTTTACACAGCAGACAAAAACAAAACAAAACATTTCTGCATGTGAATCCAGACCAGTGGCAGGATAAGAGGGAAAGGGTGCAGAAACACTTGCCTATTATGACCTTTTTGGCACCAAATGAAATTAAATGCCTGGGAGAATAATAAGGATTTCATCTGGTACCAAAAAGGTCATAATAAGCAAGTCTTTTAATTGAGATTACCCATAATTTTGGGTTTGGACAATGTTTTTGATCCATTCTTCATGGCAGTGGAAATGGGAGGCTGAAGTGAATGGATCCAGGTGAACATGTGCATAACATTAAAATTTTCTGAAGCATTACAATTTAAAACGGATTGAGTTTATTTTACATCTCCTCATTTTTGACCTGAGTCTGGGCATTTTTATTTACATAAAAAGTGTGTGATAAAGGAGAATCACTGATGGGTAGGTTCAGGGAAGACCTCCAGATTTAACCCTCACCAATTCTTTTATTTCACAAGTCTGTCTTCGTCAGGTTGTAGGGCAAAAGAATGGCCCAGTTTAGTTCCCTTGACAATCCACACTATCATACATGGGGCTGTGAAGAACATGCCTGTGACTGTAAGGAAGGCAGAACTAGGAGCAAAGCTCTGCAGACATCTGGCTTCTTTGTGTATAGCATAGGAAACTGGCATATATCAAGTGGAGAGCCAGTGTGGTGTAGTAGTTTGAGTGTTGGACTAGGAAACTGAGAGACCAGGGTTTGAACCCCCACTCGGCCATGACAACCTACTTGGGCAACTCTCATTTTCTCTCAGCCTCAAAGAAAGACAGTGGAGGCAAACCTCTGAACAAATTCTGCCAAGAAAAACCCATGCTAGGTTTGTCTTAGGGTCGCCATAAGTCAGAAGTGACTTGAAGGCCTGCAACAATATACCAGATCAAAACATTAGTCTGTTCATCAGAAGCAGGTGACTACCAGGGGCTGGGCAGCTGTATTATAGTCCCTTCCACGGAGGACATCTTGCTGTTTGTTGTTGTTCTTATGTGCCTTCATGTCACAGGGTTTTCTCAGCCAGATTTATTCAGAGGGGGGGTTGCTTTTGCCACCCTTGAGGCTGAGACAGGGGGACTTGCCCAAGGTCACCCAGTGGGTTTCTGTGACCGAGCAGGGATTCGAACCCTGTTCTCCAGAGTCATAGTCCAGTGTTCATAAAACTGCTACACCACGCTGGGATCCCTGCCTTCCAAATTTTAGGACCTTAATTTATTTTTATTTTTTAATTCAGAAAACTCTCAACTTTCTCTAGGAGACCTGTGGGGGGCATTTTCACCACCACCACGTTGCTGCTCTTTTAGGCCCACAAGAGTCCTATTTAAAACTAGGGCCCAAAAGTCCTGTGTTGTATGAGGACATCTCATAGAGTGATACTGAGGTCACTTTGGAGCCCCAAAGCCTCAGAGAGATGCTTGCAGTCCCTGGGCCATACTACATGGTCTGCATGGACCAGCATCAGCAGTCTCCCAAGGTTCCAGAGAGAAGTCCTTCTCCATCACTTTTTTTTTTTTTTTTTTTTTGCATATAAAGTAGTCCCACAACCTTTCCCTTTCATAGAATGTGGCAGAGCACCACAATATCTCCCAGTGGTCTTCGTTGACATAGGCATACATGATCTTGCTTCCTTTTATGCTGTCATCAACAATTATTTCCATGACACCAAACATGGACTAAGCAGCTTAGTCAGAGCTTAACACAGCAGTAAAAAGTGACAACAATCCCTGCCTGCAGGCATGCAATCCAATAAGGAAGGGACAAAGAAAACAAGAAAAGGGAAGGAAGAGGAAGAAGCCCTGTCACTAAGGAAGAATAAACTATAAAAATAGAATTTAAAAATCCATTGTCCAAGAGGGATTATATTACAGGAGCAAGAAGACTAAAGTATCCAAAGACTAATAATCCTTTTTTTAAAAAGCCCTGAGATCCCAGGGGACCTTTAGCCTGTAGTATAGCTCTGAAACCCCATATAGACTCCTGAAAGTGAGGCTCAGGGGACCCCAGGTACAAAAGTTGTTTGGTGGGTATGAGCGATCTCCAAAAGGGGATGGTAGTCTGTTAGCCCCTCTCTCTTAGACAGAAACACTACTCACTCATCCAGCAAGAGAGTTGGATCTGGGCTTGTAGCTTGTTTGTTTTCCTGCTGTCTGGTTGTGGTCTTCCTGTTCTGTTTTTTCACTCTGTTGCTTTCTTGTCCAAAGGCAGGGCAGACTTGTGAGATTGAAACTCTCATTCCGCTCATTCACGGCTGCAAAAAGCTTGTTCTGGTTGGAGACCCCAAGCAGCTCCCACCCACTATAAAATCTGTGGTATGTACTCCAGTTGCAGAGATTTTTGTGGTTCAGGGAATGATGAAGCTGTATAGCTGGGAGATTTGATTGCCTTTTTCTAATATTTGAAGAGCTCTGTTTTGGTATAAGTATGAATTTGTTTTTGGTTTTAAGCAAATCTTAATAGTGGGTGAGCTGGTTGCATGGTGTGGATTGATTTTTTTGCCTGATCAAAGTAATTGCACAGTTCACTACGTTTCTATGAAACCAGCTCACTGATAGGTGGCAACCCTTATATAAGGGGGGAAATATAGCAAATATGCTGGGAGAGTTGTGGCAAGGGATTCTTGGACATCCTAAGGATGGAATAATTCCAGTAATCTTCCCACACTTTTTATATAAATTAATAAACAACCCAGGACTGGGCAGGCGTTCATCACAGTGTAAAGCTGATAACTCTCCTCTAAATTGATGTTACATTTTTTAATTCTTTATGGTATCCATGGAGTTACTCCCTTCTGAACTGTGCCTGTGCTGAGTATTGCTTCCGAAAACTTTGCCACCCTACTTCTCTGCTCTCTTACTTTTCTTTCTTTTTTCTGTTGAAGGGGAGTGGAAACTTTGATGAAAATATATTTCAAGGAATGAGTTATGAGGAGAAAAACTAAAGATGTTTTTTGGCCTACAACTCCTATTAATCTTAGTCAGCATTATCAGTGGTGGAGGGTTGTGGGAATTGTAGTCCATCTGAAAAACTCTTGAGAGAATTACACACACACACACACACACACACACACACTGCCTTGAGGTTTGTGGAGGGACATGGTTTCTTGGCTTAGCAACAGGGATGTGAGACTCTTCTAAGTTATGGAAGTTTTCCAATGCTGCTCTGCACAGGCACAGATCTCATATGTGCAAAGCACATTTGACTGCTCACAGAACATTGGTCAGTTACAGTAAGCATCCTGAGAACATAAGGAAAGCTTTGCTGGATCATGCCAAAGCCCTGCATTTCTCACAGTAACTGACCAGACTCCTTGTGGGAAATTCTCAAGCGGTAGATCTTTTCCACTGTTGCACCACAGCAGAAGCTTGCTGCCTCTGCTTCTGGAGGTGGCATATCACTAACATGGCTAGTAACCACTGATAGGATTATCCTCCATTAACTGCCTTTTAAAATGCTATGTTTTTCCTTGGCTTCATCTGCTCCCACCTTATCCACTGGCAGGTAGGGAAAAAGAAGGGTGCTTTGGGGGTGTTTGTACTGTGCTCATTCCTGGTATCAGTTTTTAATCTATTTTCTATCTTGAACTCACTCTGTGGCAGTTAAACAAGTGCTCACCTCCATTCCTAAAACAGACGTAGTAAAACTGATCTCCTTCACAGCGCAGTTATAATGGTTGCCACAAGAAAACATTCATAAGATGCTCTGAGCATTCTAAACCACTGTGTAAATTCTAATTACCATTGTTATTAATTGTTGCCAAGTCATCTTCCTTTACTTTCTTTCCAATATTGGCAGAAAGCACAGAATTATGGTTATGACCAGTCTCTCATGGATCGGCTATGCAGACACCTGCAGGAACAGGTACAAGAGAATGTCATGGGAAGGCTTCCAGTCCTGCAGTTGACCACACAGTACAGGATGCACCCTGAGATCTGCCTCTTCCCTTCCAAGTACATCTATGGGCAAGCCCTGAAGACTGATAGGTGTGTCTCTGTCTCAGTACTCAAAGCCAAGTAGATCTTGAAGAAGAAGATTATAAAATGTGGCGATATTATCCTGGCAGTTTTTAACTTGTTTTTGTGTGCGCTAATTCTAGAACCCTGTAGTTCAGAGCAACTGGTTTGTTTGTTTGTTCCCAGGATTTATATCCTGCCTTTCTCCCACAGTGAGAGGCGTGTGGGTATATTGTGTACCATATATACTTGTGTATATGTTGAAAAATTTCTGCCAAAAAATCTGAGTCACAATGGTAATACAGTGGACTCCCCCTATGGATACCAAAAACAGTGGGACCTCAAGTCCTGTTGTCCCTAATGGTTGTGCGGAGCCTCAAAGCGGCTCACAATTTAAAAGACTGATGTAAATAAAATATGTGGTCTTGAGGGAATTGGAAGGGGGGATAGACTCAAAACAGGCACGTGGATTTCCCCACAAAGTCCTCCACATGGAAGCACCAGGCGCATTGCTCCTGGATCTCCAGAGCCCCACCGAAGAGATGAGAAAAAGCCGTGGCAGTGGTGGCGCACTCTGGAGAACTTTTAGGGTTCCAGGAGCAGTAGGTCTGGAGCTCGCATGTGGAGCCGGGAAACAAAGGAAGACTTTGTGGGGGGACTCTGCTTGCCTGTTATGAGCTTATTTTACTTATTCCCCCCCAATTCCTTCAAGCCCTCATATTTTATTTGCATCAGTCTTTTAAACTGTGAGCCTCTTTGAGCCTCTATTGCCCCCAGTGGCAGCATGGCCACCATATTTTACCCTCAGCTTATCCACAGGTCATACCAAAATCTTCAATTTGGGCCCCAAAATGTACCCTCGACTTATACATGAGGTCGACCTATAGCAGGGGTTAGCAACCTTTCCCTTTTAAGGGCCGAGGGACTTCAGCTCCCAGAATCCGAGGAGCTATTGGCCAATATGGGACTATTGGCCAACATGGCTGAGGCTTCTGGGAGCTGAAGTCCCTCGGCCCTTAAAGGGGAAAGGTTGCCTATCCCTGACCTATAGTCAAGTATATATGGTAGCTTATCAATTATTCTTAATGATTTCTGTTACAGTGGGCCTTTGGTATCCAATGGGGTTTGGTCCCAAAACCTCCCATGGATACCAAAATCTTTGGATGCTCAAGATCCATCTTAAAAAATATAGCAAATATGCTAGGAATGGTGTACACCAGGGGTGGGACTCTGGAAGCTCAGGGTTCAAATCCCCACTAAGCCATGTAAACCTACTGTAGGACCTTGGACAAATCACATTCTCAGGCTCAGAAGGAGGCAGCAAAGACAAATGTCCTGGATATAAATCTGGTCAAGACAATGCTAGTAAAGTATAGTCATAAGTTGCAGAAGACCAGAAGGCACATAACAACAAAAAGCCAGAGGTGCACATGGAATACAATGAAGTGAGAAAAAGAGTGGACCCTGCTACTTCAAATCAGCAACAGAGAAACTGCGATGCTTCTTATGCTTAACTTATTCAAAAGCCTAAGACACTGGGAAGATTGTATCAGAAGTTTTTGCTGTGATATGCTAGTTTGTTTCTTACAGGTAATTGTTTTCCATTATGGAGCATTTGGGTTTGTTTTGTTTTGTTTTGCTTTAAACTCCACCTATTTCTTGACTGAAAGTCTGAAGGAGTACACTCTGAGTTCAGGATTTTGTTAACATATTTTTCTTGAATTGACTAGACCTAGTGTTGTGCAGAATTAAGAAACTGAACAGTTAATTGAACAATCATATAAAAGAAAGATACAGTTAAGTAAGGACTAGGGTCATGGGACTCAGTTACTGTACAATTTCCCCTATGTATAGCATATATCTGAATGCATTCACCTATGTAAAAGCATTCTCCACATGTAGAACATGAGGGGAATTGCTTCTCTGTCCTGCGCTAGCTTTCTAGCTGCAGGCATTTGTTTTTAGATACACAGAATTTGACAGTCTGAATACTTCCTCCATCCTTAGGATCTTTAGTGTTTCCTCTTGTAACAAAGAGCTTAGCAAATGGCTCTCCATGTGCTGTTTTGATTATTATGCTACATTATGTACTGCTTTCCCTGTGCTGACAATTCCCATGACACTCTAGGCAAACGGCAGAGAACCGGTTCTCTGTGGAATGGCCCTTCCAGCCGTACTTGCTCTTTGATGTATTGGATGGCAAGGAAGAACGGGACAGTGAGTAAGTTTGT